AGTGTACCTTCCTCTAAACAAATCATCAGTTGAATAATCTTTAAATAAAGGGGATGCTTTAAGCCAATGAATGACCTTGGTAGATATGCAGTCAATGATTTGCTCCTTAGATAAGATCCTATTGTTTCTTTCTTCCTAGATTGACCACAAAACAACTGCTCTTGTTGCTCTCCACATTGCTCTCCCCTTCTTCTTTGGAGGTCTAAAGAAGTTCGGATCAAAGAGTCTTACTACATCCGAAGGAGGGGTCCACCTGCATCCAAAGAGAGAGGAAAACCAATTCCAAACAAAGACTACAAAAGGACAAGATATAAATAAGTGTGTAATGGTTACGCCACAGACCAAGCAGAGGCTACACACGTAGGGTGAAAGGCAGTAGTTTGGCCTTCTTTTTTGCAACATATCTAAGGTGTTGATTTTCTGGAGTACCACCTCCCAACAAAAGGCCCTTATTTGGGGGGGGGGGGGTACAAGGTTACACCAAACCTCATTTGTTGGGAAGGTTCCTACCAAGTTAGATGAATGGAGAAGAGCATTGTAAAAAAAAGCACTAGTGAAAAACCCAAAAGGAGAGGCTGACCAAATTCTACTATCCAAACAAGACTGATCAAGGAACAGAGTATTAAGAAGGGCAATCAGATCATCAACCATACCCATTTTGGACTCCCTCAACCCCCTCCTCAGACCCAAATCCCAAGAGTTACCATTTCAGATAGACAAAGGAAATGGTTTTTTCTTTATTCAATGAAAGAGAGTAGATGGATGGGAATCTGTCTTTAAGGGAGACATCCCCAAACCATACACATTTTCTCAGAATCAAACTTTATTCCCTACACAAGCATCAAGTCTGATAAACGGAAGAAATGAGGGCAAAATGTCATGGTTAGCTTTTCAAGGAGATGACCGGGATGCCCTAGGGTCAGGACCAATATCCCATCTGTTTTCTGCCACCCCATGTATACTCACTATCACTTTGTGCCACAAATTGCCTTGTTTCAGAGGTAGTCTCCATAACCACTTTCCCAACAAGGTTGTATTCCTTAGCTTTATGTTTCCTATACCCAACCCTCCACCATCTCTATTTCTAGAGACCACCTCCCACTTCACCAAGTGATCGTTTTTTATATCCCTTGGTTCCCATAAGAAATCCCTCATTAATTTCTCCAATTTAAAAGCCATACTAGTGGGGATCTTGAAAGTAGAAAGGAAGTAAATTGGTAGGTTTGCCAAAGTTGATTTTATTAGGGTAATTCTTCCTCCTAGAGAGATGTAATTTCTCTTCCATCCTACTAACCTCTTTGAGAATCTTTCCAAAACTGGGTACCAGAAGCTTTCTGACTTTGGATTCCCTCCTAAGGGTAATCCTAGTTACTCTAACGGCCAAGATGGAATAATGACAAGAGGAGATACATCCCTTTATTATCCATTCACACCACCTCACCCCAAAGCCTCTATGCAACAAAACTTCTAGAAGAAACTCCCAATCCACCAAATCATAGGCTTTCTCAAGATCAAGCTTACAGACCAGGCCTTTCTCCATTTTCGGGCCCTTATACTCCACACAATCATTAGCGATGAGGATTTGATCTATTATTTATCTTTCAAAAATGAAGGCACCTTGGTTTGGAGAGATCAAGCAAGGGAGGACTTTCTTAATCCTTTCGGCCAAAACATTGGAGATGATTTTATACAAGCTTCCCACCAGGCTTATAGGTCGATAGTCTTTCGTGTAGGATGCTTCTAGTTTCTTGGGGATTAAAGCAACAAAGGTTGCATTGACTCCAGAGTTGAACTTGCCTCTCTCAAAAAATTCAGCAAACACTTCCATAAGATCAACACTAATAATCTCCCAACAATCTTGATAGAAGGCCATTGTGAAACCGTCTGGACCGGGTGCTTTAGACCTTTCCATCGAGAAAATTGCTCTTTTTATTTTATGGGTCTCAAAAGGTTTTTCTATCCGCCAAAAGATCCTTGGGGCCAGCCCTCCACTCAAAGTCACCCAAACTCTCTCTAACACCTCCACTGACAGCAAAGATAGGTTTGAAGTGATTCACCAAAGCTTGTGCTATGTCCTCTTGCCTAGTTAAATTTGTCCGTCCCACTCCAATTGGGAGATAAAATTCTTTCTCTTTCTTATGTTGGCTAACAAGTGGAAAAAACTAGTGTTCCCATCTCCTTCCTTTAACCACCTACATCTTGATTTTTGCCTCCAACTAATCTCCTCTTTTCTGAAAATCTCCTTCAATTCTTGCTTAAGCCTCCATCTCTTTGCCCTCTCTTCCACCCTTATTCTTCTATCCCCTTCAAGACCATCTAGTTATTCTAATCTGTGAGCGACAGCCTTCTAAGTTTCAGTAAAGTGATGACAATTGATGAAATTCTTTCTCTTTCCTCCGTTGGCCAACAAGTGGAAAAAACTAGTGTTCCCGTCTCCTTCTTTTAACCACCTACATCTTGATTTTTGCCTCCAACTAATCTCCTCTTTTCTCAAAATCTCCTCAAATTCTTGCTTAAGCCTCCATCTCTCTGCCCTCTCTTCCGCCCTTATTCTTCTTCTATCCCCTTCAAGACCATCTAGCTGTTCTAATATGTGAGAAACAACTTTCTAAGTTTCGGTAAAGTGATGATGATTGATGAAACTGTGTTATTTGTTGTTATCAAGGGAAGGTTATAAAGTGAAACCTTTAGGAAAACAACAAAGATTGAGGATTATAAAGTGAACTCTTTGATTTAGTAGGAAGTAGGAAATTTAATAATGTTGTTTTGTGTTTTCATGCATAGGCAACACATCCTGAAGCATGACTGAAATTTCTTAATGAGCATGTTTGTTTTGAATTAATACAATGTTTTGATAGATACCATGGATTTTTTTTTATGCCTCATTGACAAAAGAGCCTCTTGATTACCATGGATTTAAATTATTGATTAATTAAACATCTCATTTGCATTTCTTATATTTCTATATAGGCAATGTTTTGGACAAGAATCTTTGATTACATATAAGGCAAGGCTTAGTTTTCCTTTTACAGCCAATGTATCCTTCATTACAAATACCATTTATATAAGAGGAAATTTAATTATTACATCTCATTCACATTCTCTGTCCTCATTCATTTTATTGGTTTCTTCATTTCCCTTCAAGCTCTCACTATGCTATTTGATGTAGTAGCGATGGATCCTCTCTTTTACTTAAGGAATGAGAGACAAATGATATTCCAACAGAGCAGTCAACAATGTATTCTTAGATATTGTTATCTTACTTTATCTCACCCACAAAGCAAAAAAGAGTTAAGGCTAGAAGATGGAGCATTCAAATTTCAAAGACCACATGTAACCTATAGTAATTGTTTCCATAAACATTTGCTTTATTAGCTAGGTCATAACTGCAGAAATCAATTTCAGAATGTTTAGCAGTTTTATCAGTGTTAAAACCCGGATCAAACTGTTGGTTGAGAATTAAAATGTGAATGCTTCCTTTTGTGGTTTAGTTCTCCTTCTGAACTCCCTTAGCTTTAAACCCTAAATATTTGTTCAAGGAAATATTGAACCAGTTGATAAAATTGTAGAATTGTTTGAATAGTCAGGTTTAACAACCCTGCCATTTTTTGATTCTTCTTTGTCATTTTCTTTCACTTCCAATTTTATTAGAGATACATATTGCTTAAGCGTGCAACCTTATTTTTTTGCAGAATTGATGTTGGCAATTGCCATTGGGTAGCATTAATCTCGTTTTGTGGGTTGATAACTAGACAATAGCCACTGAAGTGGAAGTCTGTTTGCACATTTTGAGCACACCATACTAATTTAAAAAAATGGAGCTAATGTATGGACCCAATGTTAAAAATGGCATTACAAATACTCATGGCTATTTTATCATCCAGGACCTTGAAGTTTGTACCTCAATTATGTGATTCAATTATCTTATTGATGTTAATTATTGCCCAAGATATTAATCATTGTTAGGAATAGTGATTGATTGATGTAAATTTTCATTGGCCATGGGAACTGTTCTATTCATCTTAATGTTGGTTATTAATTTGTCCAAAATTTATGTTATATTTTAATTTTATAGAATTTATTTTTTTTTTTTGTTATTTGCAGGTGAATGTGTAGGTTGGGCCCAAATATGCTATTGTGTACAGGTGAATGTGAAAATAAAAGCACATGAGTGCCATTTGCACAAGTTTATGTGTGGGTGGGGCCACAAATATTATTTTTTATAGGTGAATGTGTAAGTGGGTTCATGAACGCTATTTGCATAAGCCAATGTGTAGGTGGGGCCGTAAGTGCTAAATATACATTTGAATGCATTAGTGGGTCCCACACATGACATGTCCTAGGTGCATTTCCATTTAAATGCTCAACACTTGTTTGTTGTGTTATATGTGTTTCCAAATGGTTTTTGGGTCTTTTAACACTTATTTGTTGTGTTATATGTGTTTCTAAACGGTCTTTGGGTCTTTTCGCTTTTAAGAATATCTATAAAAAAATTGCAACCAAACGGTCTTTGGTCTTTGAAGATCTACCCATGAAAGTTTATCAACCTTTTAAGGTCTTGAGCTTTTGGAAGATCTTCTTAAAAAGATTTGCCAAACACCTCCTAAAAAGGATGAAAATTTTGATGATTGATTTTGATTTTAGCATATGATTGATAAAAAAAAATTAGATAACACTTGAAAGGCATTTGTATTTTTTCATATACTACTTAATGATTGATTAATGACAAATACTAAATTGTCACGTTTCAAAAGTTTAGATACTGGATTGTCACATTTTAAAGGTCGGCGACCAAATTGTCACTTATCAGCAATTTCCCTTAAGTTAATTTCGGTTATAAAAGGATAAAATTGGATTTTAAAATGTTATAATAGTATCTTAATGGTTGGTAGAGTTTGTTAGCTAAGGTAATTTCAAGAATTTTACAAATATTTTAAGAAATTTCGTCTTAATGCTTGATATTATGATATCAGTTGATTGATTATATTGTTATAACTTATAAGTTTTGTTTCTCTGGAATCATGTTGTATCACAGTCGATTTTAAAGGCAAACCGTCTTAAAACCGTTCATCTTTTAACGGTTGATGATACCTTCTGGTTTATGTGAAGAGAACGGTTTGATCACTCCTCTCATAATTAGAAGATACAGAACTGCTCAACCACGCCCTGCTACCGACTCCCTACTGCTGTGTGCCACAGCTTCAACCACAAACCAACAAGCAGCATAATCGAAGCTAGTGATACTGTGATAGGTTGCTCTCTCTCTCTCTCTTTCTCTCTCTCTCTCGATTATGATGTCTCTCAGTAATGGATTTATTCTCTTTTTGTTGTAATTTATCAGAAATATGTCTTCCCTGGGAACTTCGAAAGGAATCCTCGAGGTTGCGAAATTTGCTCTATATGTGTCAGTTCCTATTGTTCTAATGTACACTTTCGCCAACAACTCTGACAATCTCAAGAAAGTAATGGGGAATGTAAGCCCTCTTTCTTCTCTCTTATCAGTTTGTTATTATTTTTCTTGATAATCCAATTTAGAAATCGTTACAATCTAGGGCTTTGATTATCTTGATTTAGGTGCAGACACAGATTGCAGAACTTGCGACCATTAGGGAGTTTTAGTACATCAGTTTCTTTACAAATAATTTTATTTACACTCAGACGATTTAGACCTTTTCCCAACTCTTTGGGGTCAGATACTGAATTTTGTCCAGCCATTGTGCTCCGTCGAGGGCCATATTTTTCTGTCAAATTAAGTTGCACTCACATTCAAGAAAGTATGATTGCTGTTGCGGTTAAATGCCCTCAAATACTAAATATCGTTGAGGCTACTCAGTTCCTTGACGATTCTTGCAATACAAGCAAAGGAACCTCCTGTAGATGCCATTGAACTATGAAATGAAATGCTATCAGCCCCTTCCTAATCCAGTTCAGATCAGGTTTATGTTTTCTACCTTAAGCCCAAACCAATGTGTGAAAAGCACAATCCAATTGACATGAAATTAGGATGACTGGTAAGGTACAGGCAATGCTGTCTAAGTGAATAGAGAGTCAAGCAATCCTCAAGCTGGACAGTATATCGCCTAGCAATCCTCAAATTGTACCTGTATTGGATATTTTGTGGACAAATATTTGGTATGGACATAGTGAGAGTTGAAAATTTGCTCTTTAGGTAGCTATAGTCTTCCAACATAAGGGTTGAGGACAGGTACTAGAATGGGAAAATTCTGGTAGTTTTCTGAGGCTTATTGTCTTCATCTTTTTTCTCCCAGATTGGTAACAGAAACTTTATTGCCTAAAAATAGAAAATTACAAGAGTCATGTACAAGCAATACATAAAATATGTACAAGAATAAAAGCACTCCCCAGTCCTTACAGTAGACCCCAAATCACCCTGCCAATACCTTTTACATATAATCATTCTCCCAAACAAATAGATCCATAAAAAGTGGCTTCTTTGTACTCTTTGTCTAGCAAGGGTATCTGCTAGGCTGTCGGTGGATCTCTTAACCCAGATGAAACTCACAATCAAATCTCTTATCAAGTGTTGAATCTCTCTCAAAGTATTCCTGTATTTCCCTGGTCCTTCTTTGCTTTTATTCAGCCACCCCATTACCACCATAGGATCGCCTTCTATGACCAAGTTGTTGGACCTTAGATTTTTAGCCAATTTGATCCCTTTAAGGACTGGTAGAAGCTCCAATCTCATGAAGTCCCCATGCCCTATTGGCCCCAAGTATAAGCACAATAATGACCTTGGCTGTCCCTAAAAATGCACCCTACCCCAAACTGTCCTCTGTTGCCTAGGCTGCAACCATCAAAATTCATCTTAATCTTCCCTTGTGTTGGTGGTGACCACTCCCAAAGAACTCTATTTCCAACCAGAGGTGCTTGATTCACCACATGCCAACTTCTGATAATTTCTTTTGTCAAAAAATCTTCTAATAGAGCAAGAGAACTAAACACACAGAAATTAATTGTACAAGGGGGCTCAAAAGTGGTAATAGGTTGGCTGATGAAGCATGCAGAGGCTCTCTGGACATATAGCAATGAATTTAAGAGGATTAAATGGCTGACAAGGACTATGGCTGTGAGGGAATAAATGTTTTGGGCTAAACTGTAATATGCATGAGTGGGTGAAGCTACTTGGTTGTAAATTAAAGTAGAAATTATCTCCTTTGACCTCACTATCTTGTATATTTTTAAATTATAAAAAAATCTTACTTATTTTTTGTTTGAGTGGGACTATACTTGAACCATCACTGCCAGTTCCATTGGATGGATATCTATGCTTCTAGGAATCCAGGTCTGTAGTTGTCATCACACTTCTTGTGAGAATTCCATGCTTTGGTTACCCAGTTGAACAACTGGTACTTGTGCAGTTTCAATTGTATATTCCTCAGTCTACAAACTCACTATTGTCTAGGGAATTCTCTTGCAAAAAGTGGTATTATGTTGGGACTGATTATATTGACAAGTAGGGTGTCCTTTGGAGTTTCAATGGTGTCCAACAAAGTTGACTTCTTTATTCTTGTTGACTGGTAAGTTGATGCTGCACTATTTTCTTCTCGATATTATTATTATTTGTATGACATGTCTGGTTGACAAAACTGCTTGTTTGGGGAAATAACTTAAATCTTTTCCATCTTTGATAACTGGCTAACTGTACCAAAGATGGTAGTCCATTGTAAAAATTGAGGGATGCTCCCTTTGACACCAAATTTATTATGTGCAACCATTCCTATTAGAAGGTAAGTTTCATCATGTGTATCCCTGGTGTGTGTCAGGCTCCATTCTCTAGTCAATGGTTTTAGATTATCTTGATGATGGATCATGTACTCCTTTGCATCTATTATCATTCATTTGTTTGTTTCCAGATAGCCCTTTAAGAAGGCTTCAACTTGTTCAGTTGAGACCAAAGTCTTAACTGATTCCAATTATACCATGGAAAATACAAAAGATATTCACACTAAAGACCCTTTTGTATTACCTTGGGGTGTAAATGGTATCTGAAAATCCAAGTTTGAATTTGAGATTTGACATAACAACATAACATAATTGACTTGAACTTGGATATGACCTGATTTTATTCAATAAATATCCATATATATATATATATTATTTTAGGTAATAAAATAATTTTTTATCAATAACCGGAAAATTTCATTAATTAATGAAGAAGATACAGGTGATCATCCCAAAGAGAGAGAAACTCTCTTAACTCTCTTCAAAATGACAAAAATGTACAGCAATTACAGAACAACCCAAAAGAGTTGATCCCTTTCCACCCCTTGCTTTGCCAAAACATCAACAAAGGCATTTTGCACTCCTTTTAACCCACAGCAACTTGATCTAATATCTTGAGTTAAAAACTTAAACTTCCAGCTTTGAATCCCCTTCTATGATCAACCTTCTTATATTCAACTCCTTGGTTTTTGGATCCCTTCCATCACTGCCTAGATTTCTGCCCTCAAGGAGTCCCCCACATCTATTGGCCCCAAGTAAAGGGCAATAACTCTTCCCTCCTTATTTGAAAAAACACCTCCAATACCTGAAGTGCCTGGATTCCCCTCACTAGTACCATTGAAATTCATCTTAATAAACCCACTAGGAGGTGGGACCCAAGCAGGGCTTATAACAGCTCTTGGGAGAGAAGAATCAGCCACCTCCTTCCACTTTCTAAGCAAGCCATTTGTGGGAATGTCATCGAAGCTTCTCAAGGATTTAACCCAATGGATCACTCTGACAGTAATGGTTTCTAAGTTTCTTCTCTGCTCCTTTCCTTGTCTGAAAAAATTCTTTGATTCCTTTCTTCCCAAATTGTCCAGCATATTGCCACTCTTGTACACCTCCAAAGGGTTCTTCCCCTCTCTTTCTCCAGTTAACAAAGGAAGAATCAAACTGTTGTGTAGCCTAGCATTGTGGGCTTGGTCCTGTTTATATTATGTCATGACATTTACTTGTGTAACTTCCTTCCTGGGCTAAATGGGCCTGTGCCTACTTTGTTTTTTATGTTTTTCTTACTGCCTACCAATCAGGGACAGATTTTTCATTGTATCTCTTTCTTATTGCCCTAGTATAAAAGCTGTCTTGGAGGGCTGGAGATAGAGTGCCGCCCATAACCTCTTTTCTTTTATTCTCTTCTTTCTTCTATAGAACTGAATACAGACAAATACAGACATGGTATCAGAGCATTGATACTTCTTCACTGGTTCAAAATCTTATATACTGTTCTATCTTCTTCTATTATTTTTCGTTTTCTTTACTTAGGGTGTTAAAGAAACCATAGTTCTGCTTGTGGTGCTCTAAACCTAGTTGCTTTCTTGGGGGTTTTCCCTTGGGAGAAGATCCAAGGGAACCTAGAAGAGGTTTGATAATGCTCCAATAGGGCAAGACAAACTGTGAGTAGTCTCTGGATTACTAGATTAACTTGCAGTAAGCAGGTTAAGATTTTGAACTGCTGGAAGGTGCAGTCCTTTCAGATATCTTTGTGGAAGATTTTTTATGTTCGGTTAGAGGCTTCCATCAGACTGGGAGTGAAGTACAGGTTGGTGCCCTCTACTTCAAGTTTTTAGAAGCTGAGCAGTGTCTGGTTGCAGACCAGGTGTTTGTCTTGTGTTGCAGCCCAAGTTCCTCTATTTTTGTCCTTCTGTTTTGTGTTGGAGTATTCTCATCTACAGGCCGGTAGTACTGGTTGTTCTCTGCTGTTTTTTGGGTGAAATTTCACATCAGAAACAGTTCATTATGTCCTCAAACTCTAGTGAGGTAACCTCCAAGGAAAGTCATCCAAGTGAAAGCTTATTCAACATGGAGAACACTAACTTCCCAAATCTTCAGATCACTAATGTGAAACTAGATGAATACAACTTCAAGGAGTGGTTCATTTTTGCAAAACTTCACATCACAAGCTGTGGTTTACTAGGGTACATTAATGGACAAGTCAAAGAACCTAAGAAGGAAGAACCTACATATGGAACTTGGACAGAAAAAAAAGCACTTGTTATGACATGGCTGTTATCTTCCATGACACCAAAGATTGCTAGGACAGTCCAACACTACCCTACAGCTCATAAGATTTGGGAGAAAGTATCTACCATATATGGACAAAGGAAAAATAATGCAAGAATTTTAGACTGATACAAGACATTGCAGCCTTGACTCAAGGAAGTTTATCAGTTGCAACCTACTTTTCTACTCTTGAGGGACTTTGGGAAGAGCTTGATCATCATCTTGTTCTTGATTGGAAGAATTCTGAGGACCAAGAAATGCACCAAAAGCAAACTGAGGAAATGAGAGTGTTCAGATTTCTTGCTAGACTTAACTCTTCTTATGAGAGCATCAGTTCTCAGATCTTGGGGAGAGATGAACTTCCTTCATTGCAGCATGTTTACTACTTAATTAGAAATGAGGAGATCCGGAGAAAATAAATGAAGGTAGAAGCCCCTCCACAGTGGGTGAACATTCAGCCCTTGTTTCA